GAAAGAACAGTACTTTAAATTTGTAAGAATAGATTAAAAATACGACTTACTCATATTCAGAAGACCCTTTTAAAAAATCTTTGTGTATAAAATTATAAATTAAGCGGCCAAATAAGAATGCTAAAACCTTTTTGTCATTGAAAAACCCAGAGGAAACGCGAAGAACGGATGTCATTGTTTGTGAGCAGGCACTCCTACCCCAACTTAACCTGATTTTGAAAGTAGCTTATATTTGATACATAAGTTGTCTAGGAAAATGAAACCCCAACCACCCCTTATCAAAAAAAAAAAAAAATGAATCTTCCGGAACCTTAACAACTTAAAATATTAAGATTGTCTGTGCTTATAAATTAAGTAAATTTCTTTATTGGTTATTCCAAAAATAGCTTGAGAATGGAAAGGAGCTACGGATTTAAAATTTAATTTTATAATTAAGATTAAAATTTTAGTTTCTGTTTTGAAACATGGTAATTGCTGTGTAGCGATGGAACCATATTTTTAAAATTGAAAATAATTATTATATATATATATATATATATATATATATATATATACATATTTATATATATAAATATATATATATATACGCATATACATTTATATATACATATATAATAATAATACAACAGAAAATATATGAAAATTAGATAATTTTACAAATTTTTTCACGTTAGAAGAAATTCTGTTAAAAACGTTAAATATACAAATAGAACAATAATAATTTCAATAAATTAAAGAAAGTTCAAGTGGCCTGTCTGATTAGCTGACTCTAGAATTTCGTGTCGAAACACTCATTTGGACAACTTCTTATACGTATATATATATATATATATATATATATATATATATATCTGTGTGTGTGTATGTGTGTGTGTGTGTGTGCGTGTGTGTGCGTGCCACCTATGGAACATAATGACACAAAAATTCTGATTATTCATCTTTGTTTTCATAGAGTATGAAAAGGAAAAAATAATAAGAAATACTCAATGAACAAAACACCCTAAAAAGGGAGAGACAGACATTTATAATGATATACAAATGTTCTCATAAACAGAAACGAACCATAGTGTGTAGTAAACAACCTGATAAATACACCACAAAAAACGGCCATGTATTATGTTCCAACCTAATTCACGAACTAATGCTTAAATCACACGAGACAATAAAGTGAAGGGTTAAAGCATTGCTTTTCTGAACTTGATGGCAGAGTAATTATACATTTCTATATTTTCTTCATTTTGACAAAATTAGCTAGAGGTCTCTCCTCCGATTGTTGGGCTGATCCAATCTTTACCCCCAACACCCAATTATTTTGTTTCTCGACCAGTTTTCATGATTAGCCTAAATTCTCCATTGTCGAATAACGAATTGTGACCAGAGCCAACCTCAGAATGAATATTAATATACAAGCCAGTGTATCTAAAAATTTTAATTTTTTTTTTTCATTGTTTTAAAACGGGATGTGTCTCATTTTAAAACGGGATGTGTCTCATTTTAAAACGGGATGTGTCTCATTTTAAAACAGGATGTCTCATTTTTAAAACCGATATCAAGGTGCAATCAATGGTTGTTATTGTGAGTCATTTCGGCAGTAGAAGGGCAAAGGTTGAACTTATGAAACAGAAATCGTATTTATTCGTGATTGCTTTGATACTCAAAAAAACAAAAATATAATAATATTTTTTCAAAATTTAACCGGAAGTGAAAACGCTGTAATTTACAATATCTGGATTTGCGCAGGAAGAGAAAAAACAGATCGTAGCAGTGCAATGCAATTTTGTTACATATATATATATATATGTGTGTGTGTGTGTGTGTGTGTGTTTTGAACAATAAAAAATATTGAGAAATGAAAAAATTTAAATTTTCAGATTGGGTTGTATATTAATATTTTATTTTTGTTTTATTATTTCAATTAGTTTCCTCGACTAGTTTCGGCCAGAATGGCCATCATCAGGAGAAAAAAATCTACTTGTTAGTAGCAGCGAAATACAAGAATGAATGACTTTCTGAAAAAATGAAATTTATCTGTAATTATCATTTTGCTTTTTTGTTTTTTTATTGTAAATTTTGGTCAGTCCTCGTGTTGGTGAAACGACCACTTTTAAGTTGTTTTTTAAGATAGAGCCTGGATAAATATATATATATGTGTGTGTGTGTGTGTGTGTGTGTGTGTGTGTGTGTGTGTGTGTGTGTGTGTGTGTGTGTGTTGCATCGGTCAACCTAGAGTGAGAACAGATCTACACCCAAAAAGTTATGCCTCAGCTGCTGCTGATGGCGGTGCAACATCTGTTATGATTATATAGGCCCACACGGGAGCAACAGCCTCGATTTTAACCAGTGGAGGTGAAGACGCCTTCCCCGTTGTCGCCATGTTGTTTCTTTCCTTCGAGCGAGCACGATTAACCCCCGCCGGCAAGTTTCTCCTCTCCTCGCTCCAGCCCTCGGCGTAAATCGCGTCTCCAGCGTCAGCGATCGTTGGCGACGTCTTCCTCGCCTCTCGATATCCATGTCCCATAAGTGGTCAGTGGCTTTTCCTGGAGTGTCTTCAACACGGTGTGGGCCTGGGCAGGGTTTTATTAGAGATTGGCCGTTGCTTATGCAGCACGTCTTCCCTCTCCATACTTACCTGGTGGTATCACGGCTAGGACTATCTTGGACCGGCTCCGGCCTGGACCAGCTAGAACAAGCCAAGACCAGCTATGACTAGCTTAGACCAGCTCTGACCAGTTTGGACAAGCTAAGACCAGCTTGGATCAGTGGCCCGAGTGAAAACATTCGGGTCCCCACGTTAAAAACTGACCTTGTGTCACAACCTGACTCAGTGGGGAGTCAAGTAAATAAGAGTCAGTCGCTCAAATCTTGAAGGGCAGATCGGTTGAACTATCTGCCTTCGGGCGGATTCACTTTCGGGGAGGTAAACCGACCCTGAACCCGTTTATACGGGTTCAATGGGCATATTTTTGGCCGAGCCCACGGGTTCGGAGAGCCCACGGGTTCGGAGAGCCCACGTTAAAAAGGCCTTGTGCCACATGGCACCCTCGTAGGGAGTGACTGAATATCGTCTTCCCTCTCGATACCACCGATCTTGTGAAAACGCATGAATCCTTTAGTTGTTGTCGGACATTGTTCACCGGAATATGCTTTTTAAACATTTTCTTCTCTATCTTTATATCTTTTTCGGCCTTGTGCCACAGTTTTGTATCATTTACAAAATAAATATCGAGCAATGACTGGCCAGGACTAACAGCTTCATACTTTTTCATAAAATCATCAGGCAGTCGTCAACCGTTATGTGTGAAACTGGCCATTTTATATCTCCTGAGGCCATTCCAAAGCGTTAAAAGTGTAATTAATGCGTGAAAATATATATATATATATATATATATATATATATATATATATTATATGCCACCTTATTTCAGCGGCTATGCACCATAATACGGTGATTTTCTAAGCGTAATTTGGACGTGGCACTGGGCCAAAAGTATGGTACACCAAATGAGAAATAAATTCACTACCCAGTGGTAATTGTTCTAGCGAGACAAGCTTGCTCACCATTACACCACGCTGAGGTGTGCAAAACACATTCTAATACAGGCATGAATTTTTAAGCAAGGTAAGTTGTATTTAGGCAGAAAGAACTTTTATCAAACAAGTTTTATTAAACTATACCAACAAGGTCTGTCTCTCCAATTTTTATTTAGTTATTCTTACTTTCAACTAAGTTGTTTAATGTCAGAATTCATTTTTCAACGTTCTTTTATTGAATCCGTCCATTTATTTATTCATATTTATTGCATCCATCCGATTACTTTCGATTTTTAATACAGTCGTTAAAATTGCCAGTTTTGCGTGATAGTAGAATTGCGTAGTTCGCAAATTCTGGTGATTCTCAGCCTGTTGTCTCCAGCGTCATTTTTTTCGGTTATTTTGTACAGTTCTTCGTAATTTTGTAATACTAGTCCATGAGGTTTGAAGAATGGTCGTCGCTAAGAACGATTGATCTGAGAAAGCGGTTGCACACAGCTGACTTTTTTAGAGAGATTTCTGAACAGTTTGGGCTCCATATAAAGATGAATAAATTCTCGACATTTCTTGAGATTTACAAAAATTCACTACTCAGTCGTAATTGTTCTAGCGAAACAAGCTTGTTAACCATTACACCACACCGAGATGTGCAAAACACATTCTAATACAGGCATGAATTTTTAAGCAAGGTAAGGTGTATTTAGGCAGCAAGAACTTTTATCAATCAAAAAATTCTTGCTTCGTTATTTAACTTTCCAAGTCGAAAGTACTCGGGTGGCGTACTATCATTAATACACAATAAGGAATTTCAGTCGTGGAAACTCATCTATAATCAAACATTCGAGCATTAAGGGCAAAGTTGCCTAAGAATTTCCAACAGGATTTAGAAACGCCGTAATTTGCTAAGTGTATTTACTTGACCCCCCCCCCACTGAGTCAGGTTGTGATACAAGGTCAGTTTTTAACGTGGGGACCCGAATGTTTTCACTCGGGCCGCTGGTCCAAGCTGGTCTTAGCTGGTCATAGCTTGTCCAAGCTGGTCAGAGCTGGTCTAAGCTAGTCATAGCCGTAATACCACCAGCCCAGGGACGAGCCCTGTGCCGTAATTTGCTAAGAACGTCGTTCTAATAACACGCCAAACTAGTAACCTTGATAATGACCCAAGAAACCTTCGAATGTACTTGGATGGATGGATAGTAGAAATAAATGGATAGAATAAAGGTGGGTGCAATAAACGGACTTTAGAAAGTTGATTCTGGCATAAAACAACTTAGTCGGAAGTACGAACAACTAAATAAAATGCTAGGAGTCTGCCTATCATTTTATTTCGTTGTCGATATTGTTTAATAAAATTTCTTTGAAAAAAGATGTTTAACTATTGCACGCCGTAACCTTACGAGAAGATCTTTTTTTTTTAATAAAAGAAAAAAAAACTTTAAACGAGACATTCCTTTGATGACGTCATACCGATGTTACAAATCGATGTTACAAATCGATGTTACAAATCCTTTTCGTGCCATTACCATATCGTTCCAACTTTTCTTTTTTTCTTTTTCTTGTTACAGACTTTAAATTGGTAGTCTTCGCGATTTATGACCTTAAAATAGAAGGATGCAGATATAAAATATATGAAGACTTGTTTTTCACCGGCGGCTTTCATATTAAGTAAACAGCAGACTGGGAAAGAAAAGCGAGTCAATAATTTCGTTTTTAACATCAGTTGCAGCGATTGCACCATCATAATTATGACATGCACAGTTTCCGCCGTCGGCAATATTATCTTTATGATGTCGATAATCGTTTTTTGGGGGAGGAAACATTTTTCTGATCCTATCGCTGTAAAGAGTTTGTAATATTTATATTGTTTTTAATTTTATTTTTTACTGCATGTACAAGTTTGTTTTTTTTTGGCCTCATCTCCATCCATAATTCTACAGTTGTTACTGCTGATAGTGTTTCTTTTCCTTCAAATATGGTTATTTCTTTCTTTTTTCTTCCTATTATTATTATTATTATTATTATTTGCATATTTATCTAGTCTTCATTACTGCGAAACAAGTGACAGCAAGTACCCACAGATCATCAGAAATGTCTATTCTGTCACCTTTCAACAGTCCCGTGGCCTGAATCGTCTGTTATTCCTGTATCTCTGATTCTTCCAAATTCTTTGTAAGAGTCTTTGGAATACTTCCTGATGTTCCTGCAATTAGGGATTATTCCTTTATTTTCATATTCCACTATTTTTGCAAATCTCAAGAAATGTCGAGAATTTATTCATCTTTATATGCAGCCCAAACTGTTCAGAAATCTCTAAAAAAAAAATGTCAGCTGTTTGCAACCGCTTTCTCAGATCAATCGTTCTTAGCGACGACCATTCTTCTTCAAACCTCATGGACTAGTATTACAAAATCATGAAGAACTGTACAAAATAACTGAAACCACGTCACTTGAAAACTTTCAACAACTAAAATGGATATCACATGTAAGTCGAAGAGAAAACAATGAAAAAATCAAGATATTGACATTCCACACCGCTTCAAATAAAAGGTTAGGAAGGAAACTCCCACCAACACTGGAAAAAGCAATAACAGCTACTAGAAATTTTTTTTTCTAGAAAATAGGTTTTATTTTCTAGAAAAAAATTTTCAACAGAAAGATTTTATAAATTTTAACCAACAAATTACTGCTTGGTTAATTAATGCCAAATTTTTGCTTATAAGGAAACGGCTAATATTATTATTATTATTAGGAGAAGAGATACTATTTAGCATTTACTTACCGCCCCACGCTGACAGGAAGAGACACAAGGTCAGTTTAATATTGGGGAGCCCACGTGCACCCGGGTCAGGTCTAAAAGTAGACCAGCCCTCGCATCCGTCGGTTGAGCTAGCATTGGTATTACTACCGACCCCCAACCCCCACATCTTTAGTGCAATGAGTGAGGTACTGGCGCGCCCCGCTGTTTCCCGAGACCGGACATCTCTCAATGATATTTTCAGTTGCGCTCTCGTCGTAGACAAAGACATAACTGAGTTGCGCTCTGTCCGAAGACAAAAACACAATTAAGAGGTAAAATGTAGTTTGTCACCCCGAAAATAGATAGTACACTGATCACCTCCCGAAGGCCGCTAAAGAATGAAGAAAAGCGTGTCACTCGAATAAGACTGCCTGTTCCATCAATGCAGTGTTTTTCAACCTTTTTAAGCAACGGCACACATAGGAGCAAATGAAAATATCACGGTACACTTAGCAACGTTTTTAAAAGATATATATTTAAATGTTATGAAATAAAACCATGTATTTTTTTTTAAATATACACACAAATATGAACTTACTTTATTTCAATATTTCTTTTCAACTATTTGCGCAGTTTATTTAGTGTAAAACCTGTTTTTTTTTTGTTTTTTTTCTTTCGTGATTTCTTCAATGTTTGGTCGAATATGCGTTAAGCAGACCCTCATTTCTTCTTTAGTTCACCATAGTCTTTCTCATTAGGCCACAAAAATCTCCTAAGTTGGCTAAGCATAGAAATGAATACAATATGAAAACCAGTAATACTGCATTTTTCTACAATAAGTAGAAAAATGCAGTAAAACTGATAAAGCTTTTTTGAACTAATGTGGGATATTTCTTTTGTATTGAAATCCACAGTATACCTATGGATACCGTCGAATGTTTTATTTTGAGCTCTCTATCACTAGAAATGGTGGCCAATTCTTCTTCTTCACATAACTGAAATCCAATATTAGAAGGAACATTTATGAAGGGATTTCGAATCCAATCATACATTCGCAGCACGCTTAAGTAGATCCCGCGGCACACTAGCGTGCCGCGGCACGGCAACTGAGAATCACTGAGTCAGTGTAGGCCGAATGTTTCCTTATAAGGAAACGGCTAATATTACCATTAACATATTCTACTTTTAGTTTCACTCCGTGGTTTGCTCAGCTGGTTTACTTCCAATCTTTGTTTTTGTTTTTTTCTTTACAAAATTGAAATAAAATCTAATCTGGATAGAATGGTCGGCCTCAATTCCAATCTTCCCAACTGATTTCTTTTTTTATTATTCTTCCGATCACTTACTGAGGTTTGATCATCACCGTTTCTGTTACATTAACAGCAAACACTTCTTTATCGGATAGAATTGAAAGTCAAGTAACATTAGGATTCCTCTAATCTCTAGTCAGTTTCAAAATGTTCTTACTAAAATAGAATGCAAACTTTTGTTCGGATTCTATTTTTCTAGCAGATTCTTTTTTTTTTTTTTGTCTTCTTCTAAATAATCTTCTCCGTTGTTTCTTGTCTTTCTCATAATGAAAACGAGAAATACTCGCTAACACATCGCACATTTGCCTATAATCTCTCAACCAAAGTGCTTTTTTCTCATTTTTCTATCTCACGTTCCCACACACACACTCTCTCTCTCTCTCTCTCTCTCTCTCTCTCTCTCTCTCTCTCTCTCTCTCTCTCTCTCTCTCTCTCTGTGTATCTATCTATCTATCTATAAGCCCTTTCATATATATCTATCTGTTTCTAGTTATCTTCAGCTTGACTTTACGAGCCGATTTGGTATTATTTGAGACATTTGACAATCTTCCCCTCTCTGTCTGTCTGTCTCTCTCTCTCTCTCTCTCTCTCTCTCTCTATATATATATATATATATATATATATATATATATATATATATATATGTAAGCAAATATATGGATATAGATCCGACAGTATGAAGAAAAAATATATACGGAAAAAACAAAACAAAAATCCTTATATACAATTATGCTGTTTTAATGTTAATGTCAACGTCGGACGTTTCGGTCTAATAAACCATCTTCAGGACATATTCATAAATTATAACATTATCATTTGTCATGTTGTATTGATAATGTTATATTTATGAATATGTCCTGAAGATATATTATATAATATATATATATATATATATATATATATATATATATATATATATATATATATATATATATATATCAGCCTTTTCATATCTATCTATCTATCACTGCTTTCATATCTATCTATCACTGTTTTCAGATCTATCAATTTTTCTATCAGTCTTTTTATACCTATCTATCTATTACTGCTTTCATATCTATCACTGTTTTCATATCAATGTTTTCATATCTATCTATCAATTTTTTCTATCACTATTTTCATATCTATCTATCTAATTTATCACTCATTTCATATCAATTCATCTATCACTTTTTCATGTCTTTTCATTTATCTATCTATCTATTACTCATTTCATATCAATTTATCACTCTTTTCATGTCTTTTTATCTATCTATCTCTCTCTCTCTATCTATCTATCTATCTATCTATCTATCTATCTAATCTATCTGTTTCTAATTTTCTTCGGCTTCAGAGCCGACAGTGTTGTCATTTCCCACATTTGGCAATCTCTCTTTTTTATCGATTACGGTTATGTTTCGTCATCTGCTTTGAATAGGTTGATGTGAAAGCAGAAATTTATTTATTTGCACTTGGACTTTCCGGTGAATACTTTTGGAGGTCATGTAAATGAATTCTATTCGTAATTGAGTGCTTTGCTGTTTGTTTGTTTGATTTGTATTTAGTAGCAGGCTGCTTTATATCGCTTTAAACTAAGCCGAAAGAAAACGCTTGCACTCTACTCGCCAATAAAATCGACGATTATTGGCTTTCTATAGAAAATTATATTTCTTTAGTTTAAAATTGATATTTTCCTGTTCGCTTTAAATTTTATTCTATTGTTTACTTTATGCTTCCTGCCTGTTTTTTTTTAGACTATTTCCATCGCTCGAACTGTTGTCCTCATCTTTATTGCGATATTCACGATGTTTCGGCTGTTGTACCCTCCGTTGAAATGTCGAAGCGAAACCTTTATTTAAGCCCATGGAGCGGGTAGATTGTTCTAGTTCCACGTACCATGCCTTTTCGGATATCTCAGTTTCAGGTCCTCACCTGTCATCTCGTCTACAGTCACTTTCTCACAGACGTGCTGTGGCTTCCCCCTGTCTTTTCTACAAATATTTTCATGGCAACTGCTCTGACAAGCTACTTTCACTGGTACCCCAACAGCATGAATTTAAGCGTGCTACTAGGTTGGCGCCTCGGTCCCACCCTTTCACTGTCGAAACAATCAGAAGACGTAGAATATTCAATCCGTCGTGTATAAAGGCGGTCATTTTGTCTACTCTATCCGAATGTCCAGTCCATCTTGTCAGGCGAAGAGAACCAGAAGGACGAACTATGCTCTGCTACTTTTATCGAAATATCCACTGCTAACCTGAACAACGCTTTCCTACTGTCTTCGAAATATTCACTGCTAACCTCTGGATTCTATATTCAAAAACGACCGTCATCATGAACAACATCTTTCCTCAAACAACCCCCCCCTTTATTCTTGCTATCACTCTCTGTAATCCCTTTCGTGCTAATGTTACTCCCGCCTTGCTTGGAGTGAAATGTTTTAAAAAAAAGTTAATTCTCTTTATTAAACGAACTCTCAAATTATTTGTCCCTTCTGCTGTGGCCAGGTATTGAACTCCTTGTGTCAAGTCACTTTTTGGATTACTCAACCAACGCTTTTATCCACTAGGTCATGTGCCATTGGATAAAATCTTTGGTTGAAGTGACCTGACCCAAAAGAGTTCAAGGGTTGTGAAGACACCGGATGAATCAAACTCGGACACAAGTGGTACCGACGTTTACGTAGTTAATGGAAACAAGGCGCATAATAAACGAGCAGTTTGAAAAAAAGATTACATATCCTTAGACATAGCGTAATCCAGGTAGCTTAAATAAATGAATCTGTTCTAAATTCCCTGGATTTAACCTGGATCTACAAACAACTGAAGAAGGGCGAAGGGCACAACGGCCGAAACGTTCTTTTAATAGCAACAAGGATGAGGATGTTAGACCGAATGCAGATGGTGTAAATCAGTGAGTTAAATGTAACATTTTAAGGAAATAATAAAATAATAATAATAATAATAATAATAATAATAATAATAAGCGAATGGATGTCAAAACGAGAAACTTTTTCACTTGCCATCGACAATAAAAGTTCGGACTCATTCGCGTCGCGTCCGCCATGACTGGCGTTGTTTACATACGTTTGCCTCGAGTAATCATGTGCGGAAGCTTACTTAGTTAACGGCCTGTTTACTGATCTTCCTATCTTCTTACTCGTCTCAATTACTGCGCAAAACCAAAAGCAGTCTTTAGGTACTTTTGAAAGTGAATGTTTTATTGAATATATTTTTTTAATCTGTTTAAGTTATTTAGAAAATCAATGACAAGTGTTGTTTTTCTTATAAAGAAGCTTTTTATAGTGAAGCAGTAATAATAATGGATTCTTGTTTAAATACTAAAACAAAATTTAATTTACAAGTTTACACGTTCAAAATGAATTATAAGAAAAATTTTGAACCTTAAAATTGTTATTATTATCGCTTTGGTGCATAATTATCAGGCGTTTTTAAATAATATTTATTATAAAAAAATAAACATAGCAATTCAACAATAACATTTTTAAATGATTTTTCCGGAGCATATGATCATCGACACGTATTTTTATAATCTGAAAAGAAAATAATGTTTTTATTAAAAACGGTAAACAAAACAGCAATTTTTATTAACAAATAACTAGCCTAGAAAAACGCCTGATAATTATGCACCATCCCAATAATTCCTTTCTAGCATTTTTTTATTTTGTTAATAATCATGCACTTTTTAAATTTCGCGCAAAGTTGGCGCATTGCATGCGCAATAATTAAGACAAGTGAAGCTTCCGTACACGACTATTCGAGGCAAACGTATGTAAACAGTGTCAGTAATGGCTGCCGTGCTATAGCGGCGACGCGAATGAGTCCTAACTTTTATTGTCGATAACTCCTAAACGGTAGATTTCCGAAAACCTTTACTGTTATTTTCGAAATAAGAATCTAAATTTACACCGAAATGGAAGTTTTCAGGACATTTTAATTACAATTGGTGGGGGGGGGGGCTTAAACTACAAGTTTACCAATAATAAAAATACCTGTTTATATTAAGTAAAGGGTTTAATTCGATATTCCCAGGAGGTTAAGCGGAGAAGGCCGAAGGACACAACGACCGAAACGTTGTGATAATAGGAACAAGGATGAGGATATTAGTTCGATTGTAAATAATGTAAATAAGGATATCTCCTCACTCGAGATGTTCAGACAGAAAAATGTTCTTAAAACTAGAAATGGATATTTTTGGCGTGTCATGGTCGGCTATGTTTAATTGGGAGCATTAAATGGTTGTTGAAAGTTCATGTAGTTTCGTTTCATCTGTGCTCCAATCTCTCTCTTGTCTCTACTTATTACTGAAAAAGTATTGTGACGTTTTTTTTATTTTTTTATTTCTGCAGGCGACAGATCAGTTATGATTCTCTAAGCTAACTTGTTCTATTTTCTTTTTCAATTAATCAAATCTTTTTTTTTTCACTATTCGAAACAGTCAAACATCTATACTGACCAAATACACTATTAGTTACCTTAATTCCCCATGTATAATACGCCTTCATCCATAATACGCACCCATAAAATTGTGCTGAAAGTGTGGGAAAAGGCTTCTACTAACACATAATACGCACCCCTTGTTTGGTAATCAAACCCTATAAATTGTACCTCTCCAATTTCATTACGGCCAGCGTTTCCTACTCTTATTTAAAAATTTGTTATAAACATAGAATAATATTATTCTAATTTAATATTATGATAATTCTTATTTTATTTTACAATTGTAAGTATTGTTAGGTACATATGATTGTATTTGACATCCTTATGAAGTCGCAATCGCCGAATGTTAGTGTCAAATTGTCGTAGGTTTGTGGTGAGTATATATATATATATATAATTGGCATTGAGGTTTACACAGCGGCGACAGTCTGTTTCATGCTTAAATGCAATGTTCAGACATGGCCTGATGACTACTTTTACCCTGATATTAACCCATAAATATAATATACCTTAAAACTTTATTTTTATCACACACACGCGCCCGCGCGCATAAATAATAATTTGAATAATATAGACATTTACTGTCTATCAAATATTTTATTAAATTATTAAAATTTTCGAATTAGTTGTTTTACGCTATCGGTAAATTTGTCAAAGTCCATATTTTATTTCTAGATGATGAGTGCAATCGGGTCGGAGTCGCGATCCGTCTTGGACTCAAATTATGCAAATGTGGAGCTTTCATTGATGAGTATGGTTTGCATCCTCTCTCCTGTCGTCGTAGTGCCGGCCGATTTCCATGGCATGTAGCAATAAACGACATCATCAGAAGAGGTTTGGATGCAGCTGGGTTCCCTTCCCAAATCGAACCCGTAGGCCTCGACCGCGGTGATGGAAAGCGGCCGGGTGGCATTATCCTTTTCCCTTTTGAAATGGAAAAGTCGTTGATTTGGGATGCGAGGTGTGCGGATACATTTTCGGTCGGTAATTTGATGTCCGCGGTTGAGCCGGGGCTCGTCACCCGGGACGCAGAGATGAGAAAAATAGTTAAATATTCTTCTCTTGCTGAGAGATTTTTTTTTATACTCCTGTGGCGGTGGAGATTTCTGTTAGACATTTTCATGACGGTCGTCCTCGAGTATAGAATCCAGAGGTTGGCAGTGAATATTTCGGAGACAGTAGGAAAGCGTAGTGGAGGTTCGCAGTGGATATCACAGCAGAGTGTAATTCATCCTTCTCCTGGTCGCCTTTGGTCCTTCCGGTAGGAGGAAACAAGATGGCCGCCTTTATACACGATGAATACAGTGTTGGGCGGCTTCTCATTGGTCAACCTTCTATTGGTCGACTATAAAGGGAAATAAGTCATTCTGACTCGCTCACTAGTTATAGGTGTTATATACCCAAAAAACCGTAACAATTTCAGGGGTTATTAGCCCTCGTTCGATGGCGTTCCTTCGGAGGATTGACGCGATTGCGTCTCGATTAAGGGAAGAGCCTTATGAAACAGAGTGGCTCTTGCAGCGTGTCTCACTGGCGATGGTACGAGATAATGCTTTATGTTGCTACAATTGTTTTCAAGGATTGTTCTGTGGATATTTACGCAACCGAGATAAACCGAGACACCATAAGTATAGTATCTTGGAACAGCCTGTTATTGTGAAAGCACTTCTGGCCTTTAACAGAATACTGTTAAAGGCCAGATACCATATTCTTGATCATGACATTGGTAATACAATTGGTCTTGAATTACTTGCAAGGCAACACAAGAGGATTGCTATGAAAATTATGTTCTTCACAATGATGAATGGAGGAATTTTCCCGGAAACTAACCATCCAAGACCCATTCAGAGGATTTTGCTCCACCCATTTTTGGGATCTCTGATTTCCAAAATTGGATTCTACCATCTTTTCCGATTTACTTTGGGAGAAGTTTTGGTAAGAATAAACCGACAGAAGATGACTTTAAAGACTTTTGGTC